TTTCATCCTCCAACCCAGTAGTTTTCAAAGTGTGATCCCTGGATCAATATGGTTAGCATCCCTGGGAACTTGTTAAAAATACAAATTAAATGCCCCCGCCCCCAACTCTGGGGGTGGGGCCAGCAAGCTGTGCTTTACGAAGGCCTCCCAGTCATTCTGAAGTGCTCTAAAGCCACTGTGGCATCCTATATAATAAAAACCTAATATGCTAAGTGTCTGGTCGTCCGGGCATCCATTCAACCAATCAAAGTGTAATATGCTATTGGCATGCTAATGCCACTCAACTGCTCACTATGATGTGCACTGACCATCAGGGGGCAGATAGTTGACTGGTTGACCAGTCATTATGACGTGCACTGACCACCAGGGGGCAGATGCTCTCACTGGTAGGTTAGCTTGCTACTGGGGTCTGGCTGATCAGTACTGAGATGGGCTGGACACACTCTGGAGTCCTTCTGCAGTCCCTTCCTGACTGGCCAACCTCCCACATCCCTCCCTGGCCTTGATCATGCACCAGTGGGGGCCCTCAGACTGACCTGTGACTCTTGCAATCCGGGCCCCCTTGGGGGATGTTGGAGAGCCAGTTTTGGCTCGATCCCGCAGACCAGGCTGAGGGACCCCACTGGTGGATGAATTCGTGTACCAGGGCTCTAGTAGTTATATAATGAGGCGTCTTTTTTCACTGTTGAGGGCATAGATGAGAAGGCCAGACCTTGACAAAAGTCTTGCTTGGATTCAGTTTAATTCAGCAAACATTACTGAGCAGCTGTTATGTCTCAGGCATCCTTACTAGGAAACCATAAAGGTAAAGGACACTTTAAAGTCACTCTGTGTCAGCATTTTCCTGGTATGCCATGTTTGTCAGTCTCCCTGGACATCAGCCCCTCCTTGACTTCGTGCTGCAGCACCCAGAATGATGATTCTCTAAGCTGCCCCATTTGACTTCTCAAACCTCCTTTATTAATTGCCATCCCGAATTGCCTCCTTTATTAACTGGCACCCTAGTGACCTGGAGGAAGAATAGCTCTGTCTTTCTGAACGTTCCCTACTTTTAAATGCCTGGTAATCTTACTGTTCACCAGCTCCCCTCCATCCCTATCCCTCTAGAAACTCCACACTCATCCATTTTTAGACGTAGGCAGCTGCTAGAGAGGTTCTTTCCCACAGAAGACAGACTGTCCAACGCTGACCTTGAGCTAAAAAGAGTAGTTCTATTTAGAGGAAGATATAGAGTCTCTGTCAACGAGTATTGAGTAAAAAACACTCAAAATTTACCTTCCTCCTAATAGCCACTTCCCTAGCCCAAGTACTCACCATCCTTTGTCTCTGAATTTCCTTGGCTTCTGTCAACATAAGAAACATCCAAACCTATGGAGAATTCTTAAGTTTATTTGAGCCAAACTGACAATTGCCAGGAGTAAAATCTCAACGGATTGAGAAAATGCTCTGGAGAATGGCAGTTTATTTTATATACGTGACAGTCACATGATTAGTTAAATGGTACTTTTACTCTTTC